CATTAAGCATATATTCTAACACAACCATGTTCATGGTAAATAATCTTTTATCATTTTTATTCCACTTGGATTTTTTCAAAGTGGGTGCAATATAAGCATCATCAATAAATCCCCATAAATCAATATTTTTAGATTGCACAAAAAGTTTAAATCTAGTAGCCCATTGTGCATAGGGAAAATTAATGAATTTAGGAGCAACATTAGATTTATAGCCTAACAAAAGTGCATGCTTCATGACCATGATAACTATATAAGAGTGCAAGCAAGACAAATGCAATCAAAATAAGATTAGCACAAAAAGATAACTTGGATCATTAACTCAAGGCGATTAGACCTTAAATCAAAGAGCACCAAGCTCTGATACCAATTATTAGACCCTAGAGGGGGGGGTGATTAGGGTCTTATACTAATCTAATCCGATTTTATGCCAATTAAAACTTATTAACAAGTTATCCTAGCAAGTATGAAATACAACAATATTTGTAAGCTAGGATAAGCAATATGAACAACAATATATATCCTAATAATGAGATATAGGCAATGTATGTGCAAGGATATATAAACAACACAAGGGTAGATAATCTAAACAAGATAGTGGATGATATAGTAATGAGCAATGCACAATTGGCGATATAAGATAAATGTAAAAACAAATACGCCAAAGATAAACTCAAACAATCAATATGATCATGGAGTTCGGACCTTCCGTCCTACGTCTCCGCTCCCCACTCCCGGGGAGAAATCCACTATCACAACCGGGTTTTCTACGTTCACCCGAATAACGTTTACACCTCACAGTATCGGTTTTCAATGCTCACCGGTCAACGTCACTCCTCACAATCGGTTTTCTAGTTCACCGAAAACTTCACAACACACTCGGTTTCTAGCTCACCGAAAACCTAACAATCTCACAATGTAACAAATATAAATTGTTCTCTAATATGGATGAGAACACAATAAAAGCCCACACTCAATGTTACAACTCTCACAACCCTAATATATTATGAATGCAAATACAATAAGCTCAAGTGGGTGTGTGTAAACAATGAGTGAAATCAAAATCAAAACTAAACTCAATTAAAATCTAGCATATAGAAATTATAAACAAAATAATAAATAGCTAGAAATGAGTTTAGAGATTCTTCTCTGAATAACAAGATGGAGAGATGGAGATTGAAGCCCAAACAAGAAGATGATCTCCTCCACTTGTGAAAACTTCTTCACAAACAAAACAAACCCTTAAACACACTTTAAACCCTTGTTTAAAACTAGTTTTAAAAACTTCTTAGATTGATTGAAAACTGAGATCAAAGAGAGTATTTATATCCTCCAAAAACCTCAGCTAAAAATCCCAAGTCAAAAGACAAAAACAGCCCCAGCAAACAGCGCAGAAAAATAGTCGTTAGAAGCCAACGGATGTATTGTCGGTCGACCGGAAATTTCGTCGGTCGACCGATGGAGAGAAAAAAACGAAGAAGCAGCTCTGGACAATCGTCGGTCGACCGGTGCGGTCGACCGGTGCGGTCGACCGATGGAGTTTTTGGTCGACCGGACCTGTCGACCGACAGACTCTCTGTCGCCCAGTGATAAAAGATCAATTGAGCGGTCGACCGGTGCGGTCGACCGAAAACTGGCACAGCAGAAAAACTGTTATGCTGATTTTTCAATTGAGCGGTCGACCGGTGCGGTCGACCGAAAACTGGCACAGCAGAAAAACTGTTATGCTGATTTTAAAACACTGTTTAAAAATATCAAATAAATTCCAAAAAATGAAAAACTTTGGGGAATGATTGTAGACATGATAATAAACATGCTACATTGACTGGTTATCAGAAAGAACTTCCCAAATATAAAATATCATTATTTTGCAAGGAGGTCCAAAACACGAAAATATAAACACATGAGTCTTGACATTTTAGCTAAACCATGTTTTGAAACAATACAAAATAATTTTATAGACTTAATAGAAGATGTAAACTATTGTTATGAAGTCTATAAATAATGAATATAGTATTTTATCAAAATACACATATAATACACTTAAAAATGGATTTCATGGAACTAAATAAAATTGATATTGATGAAATCATATAAATGTATTAAGTTATGAAACAAAAATATGTTTTCTAATTATATTCAATTGTTTCATAGTAAAACTTGAAAACTATCAAACCAAAACATATATGTATATATATATAACTATATATATACATGGAAACCAATAAATGTGTGTGTGTGTATGATATTGAGCTTAAAGTACCAACACACATAATATAACACCTAAAACTAAATGTTACCCAAGCAATCTTGATCTTCAATAAGCTTGACTTGGTACACTTTGCGGATGAAGCTTGAACTTGATCTTTAACTTGAATTGTATGATGCTTCACTCCACAATTCTGCCAACCTCCATTTGATATCGTCGTTGAAGCGCTATTCCATCCATCCTCCAACATATTGTTTGCCTAGAATAAATATAAAACACAAACACTAGACAAATAATATTAGATGTAAATTGTTTGTAAATCATCGCCAAAACAAGAAGGCCAACATGTTGTCGATCTACGAAGGCTGTTTTTTTCTGTGGTCGCTGATTCGAGCTTGTTTAGTTCTCTATTCTTGGGTATTTGGTGAGTATTTGAGCTTGTTGTCGAGATATGAAGGCTGTTTTTTTAGTTTTTTTCTGTGGTCGCTGATTCGAGCTTGTTTAGCTCTTTATTGTTGGTGATTTGGTGAGTATTTGGGCTTGTTGTCGAGCTACAAAGGCTGTTTTTTCTGTGGTCGCTGATTCGAGCTTGTTTAGCTCTCTATTGTTGGGTATTTGGTGAGTATTTGAGCTTGTTTTCGAGATATGAAGGCTGTTTTTTTAGATTTTTTCTGTGGTCGCTAATTCGAGCTTGTTTAGCTCTTTATTGTTGGTGATTTGGTGAGTATTTGGGCTTGTTGTCGAGCTACAAAGGCTGTTTTTTCTGTGGTCGCTGATTCGAGCTTGTTTAGCTCTCTATTGTTGGGTATTTGGTGAGTATTTGAGCTTGTTTTCGAGATATGAAGGCTGTTTTTTCAGATTTTTTCTGTGGTCGCTGATTCGAGCTTGTTTAGCTCTTTATTGTTGGTGATTTGGTGCGTATTTGGGCTTGTTGTCGAGCTATAAAGGTTGTTTTTTCTGTGGTCGCTGATTCGAGCTTGTTTAGCTCTTTATTGTTGGGTATTTGGTGAGTATTTGAGCTTGTTTTCGAGATATGAAGACTGTTTTTTTAGATTTTTTCTGTGGTCACTGATCCGAGCTTGTTTATCTCTTTATTGTTGGTGATTTGATGAGTATTTGGGCTTATTGTCGAGCTACAAAGGCTGTTTTTTTGGAGAGCTTGTTTAGCTCTTTACAAAGCCATCTTTTCATTCTTTTTTTTTTGGATGGGCAATGATGATAATAATAAACTGAGAATGCAGTCTATATTTATTGTGTATTGTTTATTTTTTTGGATGGGCAATGATGATAATAATAAACTGAGAATGCAGTCTATATTTATTGTGTATTGTTTAGGCGAGGCAAGTTTGTGTGGAATGCAACCCTTATTGATATCTCAATTCTTAGGTGAGGCAATCGCTCAAAATAGCAGCCTACTTTTCACCATAAATTTATAGGCGATGTAATCTTTTATGATAAATCTATTTTATCCTGAGCCCTAATGAGTTTTCTTTGTTGTTGAGCACTTTCATGTTTTTTGGTTACTATGATCTAAGTTAATGGATTTGTGGTTGATATTTCTTCACTCAATCTCTGTTGGGTATTTTATGGTCATTGGGCTTGTTGTCGAGCTTTGGAGGTTGCTTTTTCAGTTGCTATGTTGATGCGAGCTTGTTTAGCTCTCAATTCTCGGGTATTTTGAGCTCATTTGGGCTTGTTGTCGAGATATGAAGGCTGTTTTTTTGGAGGTTATGCTGATTTGAGCTTGTTTAGCGGTATTTTGTTGGGAATTTGGTGAGTATTTGGGCTTGTTGTCGAGCTATGAAGGCTGTTTTTTGGTTATGTTGATTCGAGCTTGTTTAGCTCTTTATTGTTGGGAATTTGGTGAATACTTGGGCTTGTAGTCGAGATCCTAAAGCTGTTTTTTCAGTTCATATGCAGGTTCGAGCTAGTTTAGCTCTCTATTGTTGGATATTTGGTGGTCATTGGGCTTGTTGTCAACAATGGATGCTGTTTTGTGGTTATTATGCTGATTCGAGCTTGTTTAGCTCTCTATTGTTGGCTATGTGATTGATATTTTTGCTTGTTATCGGGTTGTTTTGGCTATTATTTTGGTTTCATGGCTCAATCAAGCTTGTTTAGCTCTATATTGTTAGGAACTAGCCGTTATTAAAATAACAAATATGGTAGTTAATAATTTTCTATAAATTTGACAAGTAACCAAACAAAAAAAAAAGAAAAGTTGCTATTTCTATAAAGGGCAAAATGACCAGATTGATATATTTTCTCGAGGCTTGGTGATAAGTTGGTATATTTTCTTTTAGTTTTGTCAGATTAGTATATTTTCTCAACTCCGGCGCTATATAGACCTTAAATTTAGCCGGAGTTACTGTTCCGGCCAGCGCTGATGGGATTTTTTACATAAAAACCCCTCATCAAATATAGTTTCCTGCTCCTAACCCCCCTCTCCCTCCTCCTCCTCCTCCTCCTCCTCCTCCTCTTCAACCTCCCCCTCTCCCTCATCCTCCTCATCCTCTCCCTCCTCCTCCCTCCTCATCCCTACATTACTAATCTTTTCAGAATTTTGACCTTAAATGACTGCTTATTTGTTGTGGATCAAGTTATAATCCTGTTGATAATTTTGAGGCCACTGAGAATCAATGAAGCTGAAAATAGTTTCAACAGTCTTAAGTTCATAAGGTAATATCAGCAATAACACATGTGAAAATGACAAGTATTTGGCAAGTTAAGGACTAGAAAGGAAGAGAAAACCAGCACCCATATTGAAGTAAAAATAGACAGCTACAAAACTAACCTCAAGTACTGGTAAATGCGGGAACCCCTTTAGAGTTGATATCTTGTTCTTACTTGCAGCCAGTACCTAGGTGGAGGTCAAAGGAACCTCAAGAAAAATTGAGGGATTGAAAGAAGAATTAATAATATTCTTAACTAACCTGCAGGCGAGGTTGACTTGCCATAGCAAGAGACTTCAACCTGTTTTGAGCAACAGATAAAAACTAGAAGAAGAGGGAGCATTTCAGACCATAAAGACATTACATATGATGCCATATTGAGTGGAAGACACGTTGTAAGCAAATTACATACATACCTCCAGATTAGGAAATTGAGGAAGGCTAGAAAGTGATGTAATTTGATTCCCAGCAAGATAAAGTTGTTGAATAAATAAGAAAATACTTAACTCAATGTTGCAAACAAGTTAAGATGCAAATCATAATATACACAGGTTATGATTGGCAAAATGAAAAGTAAAACCATTAAAAACTGCATGAATCAGTTCAACTTTTCCCATCCCAACAGACATTTCTTTGCATTGTGTAAAGGAAAAAAAAAGAAGATAACCAGGGCCAGTCATGTTTTCTAAGCTACCTTTACAATGATATTCAACTCTTCACTCTTTCAATAATGCCAGTCTCATCCTCTTTTCCTTAAAGTGAATGTTGTTAAAAGTTATCTTCTTTGTTTTCCAATAAACCAAAACCAGACTTTCTCTCTAGATGTAGTCATTGTTTCAACATAACGTCAGCCGCGAGGGTGGAGCGAGAGGAGGAGGGGAGGAAGAAGGAGGAGTCGAGGAAGGAGTTGATGACGGCGAGGACGGAGGAGGAGGGGAGAGGCAGAGGGATTTGGAGGGAGGGGAGGAGAGAGAGGGGGTGGCGGCAGAGAATGGGCGGAGGTGGAGAGGGCCGAAGGAGGGGGAGGAGGAGAGGAGGGAAGGAGAGGAGAAGATGGAGGGGATCGGGAAGAGGGATGAGGAGGGAGGAGGAGGGAGAGGATGAGGAGGATGAGGGAGAGGGGGAGGTTGAAGAGGAGGAGGAGGAGGAGGAGGAGGGAGAGGGGGGTTAGGAGCAGGAAACTATATTTGATGAGGGGGTTTTATGCAAAAAATCTCATCAGCATTAGCCGGAACAGTAACTCCGGCTAAATTTAAGACCTATATGACGCTAAAGTTGAGAAAATATACCAATCTGATAAAACTAAAATAAAATATACCAACTTGTCACCAAGCCTCGAGAAAATATACCAATCTGGCCATTTTTCCTAAAAAGAAATAATGGGTTTTGGTAAGAGGAAGAAGATGGAGGAGTTTTAGGGGGGGGGGAAGGACTCTAATTTGAAATTTTGTTAAGAGGGGGAAGCAAGAGTACACAAGAGAACAAAACAACAAAAAAAACCAAA